CTTCGCGAACGCCAGCCGGAGAGAGCTGTCTCCACTCGTGGTTTGCATCGAGACGCAGGAAGAGTCGGTCATCTTTCGATGCTGTTGTTGCTGCTGGCTTCCTCTCCGGTTTCCTGGCAGATGGAACAGCCGAAACCGAGGAGATGTTTGCAGGAGCCTGTGCTCCTGACTTTTGGTGTCCTGCTCTGGTGACAGTGGCCCAGGTGCTTCTGGGCTGAAGAGGTGCAGTAGCCTTTGTAATATTCCGGGGAACGGCTACTGGGATGACGGTCGCAGGGGGAGTCGCGACATTTGGTCGTTGGGGTAGGACTGGCGGAGCGGTGTTTGGCCCGGCCGCCACGAATTGCGCGATTGCTGCCCTTAGGTAGACCTTTATGGAGTCTACAAAATTTTTGTCTTCACCGGTGGAGAGCGGTTGAAGAGCTGCCTCGACACCGCTAATAGCTGTCGAGCATATTGTGAATAGCGCGGCTTTTTTTCTTGCCCTGCGCTCCTCCGCTTCGATCGCTGCAAGCAATTCTGGAGGGTATGTATTTTTTCCGCCTGCTGCTTCTAGTGCTGGAGGCTGCGGGGCCAGTGGAGGGGTTTCGGCTCCTGCTGCCTTAGTGGATGGTGTTCCAGCCCTTTTCGCGGGCCTCACTTCTGCAGGACGCGGTAGTGCTGGAACCGTGATGCGCTTCTCGGGTGCGACGACGGTTTTTCTGGGGGATCCGGTGGGATCCAAGACTTGCTCTGCGTCTTCTGGGCTGGAGGATGCCCAAACTGAATCGGCGAGGGTTTTTAACTTCTCGACTTCTGCGTCCACCATATCTACCTCGGGGACATCGTTCTCCTTCGCTTGGAGCGCAGCCGCGATGGTGTTCATATTTTGAAGATTGGACTCGAGTCCTCGCCTTGTTAGCATGTTCTTTGCGTGGTTTTGAATGGCGGTATGCCATTGATAAGGTTTGTTGGCGCGATCTTTGGTGATGCCGCTGATCGCGTTTTGGTGCGTTTTGCGCGTCGGAGGCATTTTAAAATGCCGCCGATGGCAAACAATTGCGATTCGATTCGTTCGTCAGAGGGTGAGATGGATAACAGGGTGGGAATGGGCAAATTGGGGGCTTCTCGAATTGTTTGGATGAAGGGTTTTTTTTTTTTTTATATTAAAGTCCTAAGCTAAGGCTCTAGGTCCACTATCGGTACGAGACTGGTGGAGCCGGCGGGGATCACTGCTTACAGGCCCAACTCATTCCAACCGCGTGACCCGCTACAGAAAAAGTAGCAGGTAAATTATAACTCAGAAACTGTAATCAAAAACTAAAATCAAAACTAAAAGCCAAAGACTGAAATCAAATTTACAAGATTTTTCATGTGGTCCGGATCCCGCGCTTCTCGCCCGTTCCCTTTCCTGCCACATCTTCCAAATGACAAATTTACTCAATCTCCGCTGAGAGCAAGAGATGAGATAGCAGGCACTTTTTATCCAGCCGGTATCCTGCTATTGGTTAGTATATGCCCCAAAAGGGACATCGTCGAGGTTGCTGTGTCCTCAAACTTCTTCTTCAAATTCCAAAACTCCGAAACCTGTAGCCTCGGCCATCGAGACGTCTTTTTCAGCGGCGGTGATTGCCTCTTCGGCCTTCTTTGCTGTTGCTCGTGCTCGTGCCACCTTCGCGAACTCCCCTTGTTCGATGTGGCGGATCCACGCGAGCTGCTCTTTGGTCACCGGTCCAGACTTTCTGGGTCTGACTTTGCAGTCCCGGGAATCCGATCGGTGGGGTCCCCCACAGTTGCGACACTTTGTGAGGGCCTTGCACTCGGCTTCCGAGTGCATGTTTGATCCGCAGTTCCAGCACGCTGGGGCGCGGGAGCAACCACGGGTGGCGTGGAAGCCCAAACAGCGTTTGCACTGTTCAATTTGGCGACGAGGCTGGATCTTTGTAGCCGCTCCGGACTCGTCGAGAATTCGGAAGCCCGCACGAGGGGCGGAGTCCCGGTTGAAAAGGGCATACCAGTTTCTGTATGGCGCTCCAGGACGACATGTCCCTTGCGGTCGCACCTGGCATGGACGTCGTTGTGTTTTGCGGTAAATCTCCAGTGAGATCCTACCGGCATCGACCGTCTCAATACGGTTGATTAATTTTATAGTCGCTGGAACATTCGCGATCCGAAAGGCGACAAGGTTGGAGGCTTCCTCGATTTTGGCATTGAAGTCCGACAACTTCGGTGAGGCCTCTAAGAGCTCTTCCCTTTCATTTTCATCCGCTGTCAGAATCGCAAATCCGGTTCTGACACGGTGTATAGAGCTTTTTTCACTCAATGTGTACAGTAGCCTACAACATAATTGATGCCGTATGCCGTCAGGCGAAAGCTGGCGCCATGGGTGATCGCTCTCTAAGCGAAGGAACAGTCGTTTGTCGACTTTAGCCTTCGGAGCTTCTTTATTTTGGGCTTTTGCCGCAGGTCGCGGAACAGCCTTTACAGTTGGGACTGCTTTTTGTTGCAGTCCATTTCTGGCCACCGTGGCCCAGGTGCTTTTTATAGGCAGCGCTGGGACGGCGGAAATCGTTGTGCTCCTGACGTCGGGAGCCCTTGGGATCGGGTTCGCCGGGCGAGGAGGGAGGACGGGTGGCGTGGAGGCCGGGCCCGTGGCCATGTATTGTGCGATGGCTGCGCGTAGGTAGACTCTCATCGAGTCTACAAATTGTCTGTTTGACCCGTTGGTCAAAGGAAGAAGGGTGACTTCGACGCCAGAGATGGCGGCGGAGCAGAGGGCCAGATTTGCCGCTGTTTCGGCGGCACGTCGTTGCTCGGCTTCGATAATGGGTCGAAGTTCCGGAGGGCAATCTGCTTTCGTGGCAGCTTTGGGCTGCGACGTTGATTTTGACGCTGCTTTGGGTGCAGCGTTCTCCGACAGTTTTGGCGCGGTCGGGGGAGATTTTGACGATTCTCCAATCCCGTGGGGGACGGAGGATGGTTGAGGAATTTCCTCAATAATTTCGACTGACCCGATCATGTCAGTATCGGGCTCAGTGACGGTGGGGAGGGCTTTTTCCTTCCCTTTGGTAGAGACGTTGCTCATCTCCGCGCATTTCGGAGACTGGGCAAGGCCTGGTAATTGTTGGAGAGCCCTCGGGTGGACTCTCGTGTTGTCCAACTTGACGTTGGGGCGCTTTTTGCGAACTGGAGGCATGGTGAAATGCCTGAGCTCGATCACAATTCAGAGATAGATGCGACGAGGTCGAGAAGGGAGGAAAGAGGGAAAAAATGAATTTTCGAATTTTCGAATTTCTTGAATTGATGAAGGGTTTGGTTGTTGAGTTTTCTATTATTTGTGTGTTGGGATAAACTTTGTCGATCCTACTAGGCTCGATAATTAGTAGTCCCGACCGAATGGTGTTTGGCGAATGGAGATTGCGTATACCCTGTGCTAGCGTTGTTTACTGCTGTTAATAGGAGATCCCGCACGGGTTATATATTGGGATTAAAAGAAGTCTGGAACCTGTGTTTAGTAGAGTAGTAGAATTGACATCTTTTTATCCTTCATTTTTGCATAAGCTTCCCTCAATGTATAACCCACGAACTAAGTAGTGGGTTATACATTTCAATAGTTTCTCCAATTGCAAACAAGAGATCGCCTCATTTATTACCGGCCATCACCTCGTACAAATTTACGAAACTACATATACTCGCAAGGAGGAAATTAGGTCCCAGTATACAAAGCTCGTGTCATGGTTTGTGTAGGACTTTTGATCTAACGGATTTACACATCTCGAGGAATCACAGGCGACTAGGACGTTAAAAGAGATCTCTTCTGGGAGATATAAGCCTGGTATTCTCGAGGGATTATCAAATTTGCAATGTTTGTCGCTGCCAAGACCAAGGTTTTGGCTAATTAGCCAGGAGAGCCTCCTATGTCATTGAGTCAACGGCACCCCCAGAGTCCTGGATGACTCAAAAGAAGTCGGGCTAAGCTGATAGACAGCAATCACGCTCTGTCAAGACTTTTCTGACATTCCAGCACGACATTCAGGACGGAGTTGGAAGGAGTCTAGATAGGCTGAGGGTGAATTTCCCGAGGTACACACAAGTCTGCAGCACCCAGTTAGCCTTCCTCTTCGAACGCTTCAGATGGGTAGCCATGTCTTTGGATTTAGTCCTAATGTCGGTATAAGGAGTGCCTCGCACCCAGTGGTTTTTGCAATTTTTCCCGGCTGCTATACACCCGCAAATGGCCATTGTTTCGTTGGCTGGAGAGGGGAGATAATGAAGGGCTAAGGGCTCCTCTTAGTGTCTGATCGAATGAGGTCTTATGAGGGGTGATACTATTTAATGGGAATATTCTAAGAGGCGTGGGAGGGGAAATACTACTGGCATAGGTATCCTTGGCCTGTAGGCAGACAAGACCTGTATGTCCTATATAGTCATAGACTCAGACAGGACAATAAAATTATTATATACTCCGTAATATGACTTCCGCATAGCTCATTACCTCTTAAATACCCTCATTAGATACCTTTTTCTGGGCACAGATTTGCATAAAAATCCAGGCGATCCATGTACTCATAATTTGAATATTATATGCACAGGTTATATTAAATGACTGATTATGATTTCAAATAAAGTTCGGGATTCTAAAGTTTTCATCCCTCATCCTTTCATTCTTGGTATTATCCAATCACGAAATATCTTCTATCTCCCTTGCATAATCCTGCCAAACTGGATACTCTCACAAAGGATCACAAATAATTTACAAAACGGGTCCCGTAAGTTGGTATCGTAGGGGCTGTTCCTCCAGATGATTGATAGTTATGAATCCGACTTCAGCTTGTTGGTTTATTCCACTCACTTTCCTATCGAGCAAAGTATTACCATCATATCCTTTGCTCAATCTTAGCAATAGTCCATATTGCGGTAATTCTCTTCAGAACACGATCCCTAGGTAAATTTTCGAGTCAACGATAACGTGATTGAATACAATTTAAAGATATAGCCGTAAATCTAGCTTCGTCGCCATCATGAATTGCATATACGCAGTCCTTTTTTTAGCGGGAGAAAATGCTTTGATGACGGATCGTCTTGTTCTCTTATACCACCATGAAAATCCTTTTTACGGGGTTTACAGACCTCACCCCGAAACATTATTTCCATCACCATCACCTCAGCATAATTTAATTATCAGTGCTAACAAAGTCACTGGGCCTGGCACATATAATACCCTCTACTGCTCACTAACTTTGGAAAACCCCATGATTAAAGACATAATAAGTCAAGGCCTCACGACACTTTCTGATAAAGAGGTTCTCCCACTCGACAAAGGGGACTATAAGTTGGATAAATGTCAGCGACAAATAATCACTCTATCTAGACAGGCAATCCACTCACGTCCGAAAACATTAAATCAATTGTTAAAATTGAAAAAGTGTACTGTTTCACACGTAATTACACTTGCACACGAAGGCAAAATATTTCTCAACGGATACAATAATTTCAATGCGCCGAAGCCAGCCCAAGGAACATTTTCACTTGATATAGACTGGGAATTACCTGTGAAGTCAATCGTATCATCGGATGATTTTATGTATTCACCTACGGAAAATACTGGGCTTGTACTTGCATGGATCCAAGGTCAGCTACATGTGTTCAAAAGAGATAGTATTTGGCGCCGTTGGATACAATATACCAAAATTGGGGCCGAGGTAGAGAACGTTGCCACTATTATCCCAGCTCTATTGGCCATGAATTTAGCCTATTTTAGAGCTACTATCGCTACGAATGGCAATGATATTAAATCAGAGATAAATCAGCCCATAACATCCGAGATAAATTTTGCAGGAGCTGAATGGAAATCTCCTCTAGTTGATGTATTAGTGTCAAAAACTTTGAAAGGTAGCTTACCAGCCTACCATATCAGCAGGGAAACAAGATTTACTTTAAGTCATGACACATTTGAAACGTTTCCTCATAGTATGAGTGGTGTATTGAGTTGATGTAACTATCACTGGTGATAAAGCAAAAGTTCGAAGCTGAGGAGATTCAATCTTATAGCATAACCTCGGATACCTCTGGAAAGTAAAACTGGCGTCCAACTTGATTAATATGAATGAGTCGCTCTACTATAGACAGTAGTAGAAGGACAGAGATGTAGCTTATGCATAAAATTCAAATTAGACAAACTTACCTTTTCCTCGTAAGTGCTCGGTTCTTTTTACCCGTACTTGTTGTATAATATAAGGCTATTCCATTACTATATTTATGTGCTGATGATATGACTCCTGATTGCCTTTTGAGTCTAAGACTGTACCAAGAAACGAAAAAATACAACAAATTACGAAAAGCTGCATGGCACTCGATATTGCTCTTTTAATCAATCCGACTTATTAATTGTCGTTTATAGCGTCGTCCGCTCTATTTTATTCATGACAAACACCACGTGCGATAGTGCTGGAAATAGAGATACAAAGAGTTGTGGACTTATAAGCCATCCATTTTGTCCAGGTTCCTGACACGATCTTGTGTGTATTTACGGGGTTGTGTAAGCAAACTTATGCAAGCATAAGTCTGAACCCAGTCTAGAAGCGAATGTACGATCTACACAAAGACATTTCGGTCTATTATTCATGATCAGGGGCGTTGATAGGGTAAAGTTTGATATTATAGTGCTGCGAAGTAATGTTGTGATGTGTTAATGAGATGTGTTTATTGTCCTGTAAAGTCTATGACTATATTAGAACATGTAGGTTCTTTCTACCTACAGGCCGGGAATATCTATGCCTCGGGTTGTGTACTCCCTTCTATGCCTTCTTCACGACTTCTTTCCAGCAGTAATACCCCCACATGCGTTCATCCGAGTAAACATTTAGAGGAGCTGTTATCCCATCATTCTCTCCCCTCTGCAGCCTACGAAACGATTGCCATTTGCGGATGTGTATCTGCAGGGAAAGATTTCAAAAACTACTGAGTGTGGGGCTCTTCTAATACCGACATTAAGACTAAATCCGAAGACATAGCTACCCATCTAAAGCGTTCGAAGATACCGGCCAGCCGGGCGCAGCAGACCTGTGTATACCTAAGAGCGTCTCTCAACCTTCCTAGCCTCCTCCTTCGATTTATGCCACAGGATAAACCGAAGGTCGGGAAAGGATTTCAGAAAAAGTCTTAGTAGAGAGTGACTGCCGTGAAGGAGCCAAGCCTAGTATTCAATTGTCATTACGGACCTGGGATCGTCGGATAACTCTTGTATTTCAGATGCCCTCCTGGCTAATAGTGTCATAGGACACTAGTCACGTGCTATATGGACGCTAGGACTAATATTGATCCACTTTTATGTATATACATTGTTTAGTGAACCGACCTATCCTTCTCTCACTGTAGATTACAATCATATTACTGTTTTGCCTTTAATCAGAGCCTTCCCTGAAACTTGTGATATCACAAGTAGACTCGGAAGTAAAGATCATTAGGGACGATATTTTTGACGAATCGAAATCTGCTTTTCTTGAAGGCGGAAGGGTCTTTTACTTTGCTTTCGTAGGCTTTTTGTTCGCCCGCCGGTGGGTAGCACATGTTGTAATATAACCTCGGTCTTCTCTGACTACCGTTTTAGCGTTTGGTACCGCATTATCTTTCCTCATTCCCAGCATCATTATCGTCGTCTTGGTCGTCTTATGTGTTATCGGGAGTGTATCTTTGGCGGAAGGGGAGATAATTCAGCTCAAGGTTAACAAGGTGTTACTCAATCTCGGCCCTGCAGACTCTGTGGTGAGAGCTGGAGGTTTGTAGGGGACTTCGCTGACAGGTGTTGAGAATAGTTATCCTATGGTGCCACGAGTTCGTCGTAGCACGTTGTAATGAATCATCTATTGTTGTATTCGCACTTACCTTTCGAAAATTCACATGAAATTCACACGAAGCTCTTTCTAAGTTTTACATATATATATTAAAATCCTTCCTCAAAAGGTGAAGTTATATTACTCTAACTCGGTATATAGAAATCTAGTACAAAATTTGCACACCCGTACCAAGTATAGAGTGTTCCCCCCATAAATCAACCCATTTAGCGTCGCTCGCTTATTAGGGCTAGCATAGGACATGCAAGGATCAAGGTTTACACAATTATTATTTCCCTTGCACTTTTACAATATATATATAAATATAAATATACATAAATAGCATCACAAGATCCCAAGTTCAAAATTCCTTTGAGATCAATTGATATACTGCGCATAGAGTTTCTATGCCCTCCCGGAAAAGTCAGGGCTTATTGGATCCTAAGCCACCCTGATATATTGGGTAACGTTTTGGCCGACGCCTCTGCCCGGGAGAGGCTTTCAAAACCCCCGCCTATACCCCGTGGGTACGTTTCTTTTGATACCGCTAAAAATCGCATCAAGGCAGAAGTATCGACGGCTATGAAAGACTACTGGGACCAACATGCCCCAGTATCCTATAGGGAGCTTGCCATTGACTCATACCCTCGTAACCCTAAGGAACTCTCACAATCCAGACCATACGCTGCTCGCTCAGGACATTGTGACTTTGCAGAGTACCACCGCCGTTTCAATCACGAGGGCGCTGACTTTCATTGTGGCTGCGGACAGCTCAAAGCCCATTGCACTTCCTAGAGTGCCACCTAACCGCTCATAGACCTCCTCGAGCTCCAGCATCTTCAAAGGACCCAAAGAAATTTTTGCTAGGAACCTGGGAAGGGGCCCTACGTGTAGCAAAGTGGCTTTCTATTTCAGAGTTTTACATAAAGACCTGCCCTAGAAACCCCAGAGAAGAAATAAATAGGTCTTCAACTCTGCCCCAACTCTGAGCCTTGCATTATGGATGGATGGTGCGGTATTTATAAATGGATCTATTAGTAGTATCTCGAGAGTGGTTGTTATACATCAAATGAGTAGAGCCTCGGGGACTGGCTGAAAAAGTGCAGGTGCTATGCTACACGCAATCATGTAATTAGAGAATTGCCCTGCAAACCTAGTTAGGAAGTAGCAAGGGCAAAGCCACCAGGGCAGTAAGCACTGGCGTCCATGCCTCTAGGTAGTTTTGTGGGTAGTAGGGACCTAAGTTAAGCTTGGCGCCCCGACGGACGTAAAATAAAAAACAAAACAAACAAACAATTCGAGAAATTCGAATTTTCGAATATTCACTTTTTGCCCCTCTCCCTCTCTCTCGCGCTCGTCGCATCTCATCAAATAATTGTGATCGAGTCACTGGCATTTTCATCATGCCACCTGTTCGAAAAAAGCGTCCCAACGCCAAGTTGGACAACACGAGAGTCCACCCGAGGGCTCTCGAAAAATTTCCTGGCCTTGCCCAGTCTCCGAAATGCGCGTAGATGAGCAACGTCTCAACTAAAGGGAAGGAAAAAGCCCTCCCCGCCGTCACTGAGCCCGATACTGACATGATCGGGTCAGTCGAAATCATTGAGGAAATTCCTCAACCATCCTCCGTCCCCCACGGGATTGGAGAATCGTCAAAATCTCCTCCGTCAGCGTCAAAACCGTCGGAAAACGCTGCAGACAAAGCAGCGCCAAAATCAACGTCGCAGCCAAAAGCTGCCACAAAAGCAGAGTGTCCCCTAGAGCTTCGACCAAATTTCGAAGCTGAACAACGACGCGCCGCCGAAACAGCGGCAAATGTGGCCCTCTGCTCCGCCGCCATCTCTGGCGTCGAAGCCACCCTCCTCCGTTTGACAAACGGGTCAAACAGACAATTCGTAGACTCCATGAGAGTCTACCTACGCGCAGCCATTGCGCAATATATGGCCACGGGCCCGGCCATCACGCCACCCGTCCTCCCTCCTCGCCCGGCGAACTCTCTCCCAAGGGCTCCCTATCACGGGTAGGTCTCGTTGGAACGGAGTCACAAGCAGATCGGAGGTACGAGAGGACGAAGTACGGGTAAGAACATATTAATAAGACGTTGCACAATCTATCCTAGAGTGCAACTTGTTGGAACCTAGAATATACAATGTTAGTATAAGCTAAATAGCAAATGAGTCATACATTTACCTGGCTGTTAGTGTTTACCAGCTAGGTAGAACATTTGTGTGGTGTTAGGTTGAAAGAGATGTCAGTCACATGATGCTGACCTTCCGCCATTAAACGGGAGGCAGGAAGACAGATCACTCACTTCTACCAGGGTACCAGTAGAGGACACTTGCACCGTCGTTGAAGAACTAGATCACTCGTGGACTGCTAGTTATGTATATAAGATAGTAATAGTTCGTTATAGTTTTCCTTATGCAATTTTACTCTAATTAATAGATCAATAATTATTTCATCTCAACAGATTATGAGACCAAACTCTGACCAGCTGAGACAACATTGATTTAAATTAGTAATCTTCCGAGTCGACAAAGATAGCATCCGTACCACTTGTGTCGTACAGCTTGAACACCAGTCCTGTTCATCCCACCTAGCCAAAACTGGAGCCGTAACCAGTTAGTTTTCAATTATGTCGACTGCCGAAATATTAAAAGGCATCAAAAACGCACCTGTCCTGAGCAAATCAACGTATGCCAGATGGAGCAGGTTATTCACGATGTGCTTGTACGGCCTTAACCTTGAGAAGTATGTCTCTGAAGATTTGTCCGAGTTAAATGATGAAAATGATCTGAAGACAACAAGAACTCCTCAAAAATCAGCAAAAACAACTGACAATAACATTCGAGCGGCCCTACTCCAAATTGTGCCCGAAGAGGTTTACTATATTCTAGAAAGCTTGCCTACGGCACGTAAGATGTGGATATCGCTGAAATTATACTATCAGCCACAAAGTGAGGCAGTGGTGGACACCATCCTAGAAGATTTTTGGAGTTTCTCAATGACCGAAGGGACAGATGTTGATGAGTATGCAAATGAACTCACCCAAAAGCAATCTCAAATAGCGTCACTTGGTCCATTAAAACGTCCCTCCGATATGACAAAAAAGAATCGCCTATTACGACATTTCGAAACAGAATGTAACGGATACTATGGTG